CACCAAGGCACGTGTGCTGTGGTGATGTGACAATAAAAGTGACTTTGACTTTGACTTTGAAAAAGACTCATGGCTGTATTAGATCAAAAGGGTGCTTCTACTAAATACTGAGCAAAGGGTCTGAATACTTAGGACCATGTGATATTTCAGTTTTTCTTTTTTAATAAATCTGCAAAAATGTCAACGATTCTGTGTTTTTCTGTCAATATGGGGTGCTGTGTGTACATTAATGAGGAAAAAAAATTAACTTAAATGATTTTAGCAAATGGCTGCAATATAACAAAGAGTGAAAAATTTAAGGGGGTCTGAATACTTTCCGTACCCACTGTATATGCTTATATATATAGCGAAGCTTATATATACCCATATATCGTGATTGTATGGAAAATAGCGACTAGCGGAGTCTTTAAAACATCTTCATATGTTTTGCATGGAAGAAAAAAAGTCATATGGTTCTGAAACAACAGGAAGGTGGATAAATGACAGAATTTACATTTTTGGGGTGAACTATCGCTTTAAGAGAGAGCAATTAACCTTAGGATATATCTTCTTTTTCAGGAAGCTTCCCTGGCATTGAGAAAGGAGACAACAGAGATTTAAACTGTATATATAATTGATTGCTGATTTATACTCTCATGCTCAAATGATAGGCCTATATAAAAATTTTAGATTAGCATTTCAAAGGTTGTGTTGCAGCTGAAGAGATCTTCTTGTACAAACATGTCACACACTCGCAAAGTGTGTGAGACAGAGCTGTCAGAGGCCTGTCAATTATTGAGATTTTCTCTTCTGAGGTGTTGCTGCTCTGCTGTGGAGAACATTTTCATCTGTTGCCTGGCAGAGGTGTCTTCAGAGACGAGACAGAGTGTGTTAGAGTCAAACAGAACTGAAGACAGGAGTTGTGTTCTCTAAAACCACAAGGTCTTATTAGGACGAAGCTCAGAGTCTGGTGCTTAAGTCTGGAAGGAAAAAAAATTGCTTCCCCTGGAGAAAAGACTAACTGGAATATGACCTACATTAGACCTGCCCTAATATCTTGTAATGTGCTCTGACTTGTTTATTATGTGAAGATCATCTACCACAGACAGTCTCACATAACATGACAACACTCAGTCTATTCAGTATGGTGTGGTGAGGTTCAAATGTCTGAGATCTCTATTAAACATACCTATATTTTACATTCTTTTAAAATGGTATTTCATTGAAAATTATATTATCGTCATAACATTTTGAGTGAAAACTTAAAGAGATAGTTCACCCAAAACATGAAAATTATGTTATTAATTACTCACCCTCATGTCATTCCAAACCTGTAAGACCTTCGTTCATCCTCGGAACACAAATTAAGATATTTTTGATGAAATCCAAGAGCTCTCTGACCCTCCATAGACAGCAAGAGTACTACCATAATCAAGGCACAGAAACGTAGTAAGGACATCATTAAAATAGTCTATGTGACATCAGTGGTTCAACTGTAATTTTACGAAGCTACAAGAATACTTTTTGTGCGCAAAGAAAAAAAATAATGACTTTATTCAACAATTCTTCTCCACCCTGGCGCCATTTTGGAGAGTATCACGATGCATGCGCGTGCTTTCCTCTGCATTATTTTTGTTTTCTTTGCGCACAAAAATATTCTCGTAGCTTTGTAAAATTACGGTTGAATTACTGGATTATACATGGATTATTACATGGATTATTTTAACGATGTCCTTACTACGTTTCTGTGCCTTGACCGTGATAGTACCGTTGCTGTCTACGGGAGGGTCAGAGAGCTCTTGGATTTCATCAAAAATATCTTAATTTGTGTTCTGAAGATGAAGGAAGGTCTTACAGGTTTGGAACGACGTGGGGGTGAGTAATTAATGACAGAATTCTCATTTTTGGGTGAACTATCCCTAACATTAATTTCTTCACTACACTCAAAAAAAGGAGGCTAGCAGTTTTGTCTTGAAATCTGAATGCTCCATGTGAATGTAATTTAGGATTGTGAACTGAGAACCTTTCATACGTACGTTCTGTGAAACAAAGTAAAACCAATGTTACACCGTGTCTACACCGGACGCGAGTGGCGCGGCGCAACAAAACACTACGGAATTCATTATAATCAGTGATGCCGTCTACACCATAGATATATATACATATCTATGGTCTACACTGGATGCGGCGTGGCACGACACGACAAATCCCCGACAGAAAACTGCTGCTGCGTTCTATTCATGACGTATTGATACAAATTTCAAATGATTTTCAACGGTCGCTTTGTCGCGTCCAGTGTACTAGACAGACTTTAGCTATTGTGGCGCAGACACGGTGTTAATTACTCACCTATCGAGAAGAAACAAAGCAACCTCTGCATCCGATCGCAGGCCTTCCGCTACTTGAGTTCTCTCCAGCGCTGGAAAGCTGATCCAATATTTACCCGGGTCCTACTTCTTGCCTTATTGCCTCAAGCCTTCTTTTGTTCCGCAGACGTTTTCCTCTTTTGTTTTTTATCCGCCATCTCTATCTTTCTGTCGCTCAGCTCGCTAATGTCCATCCTGTGCACTGAACGCTCTCTCCTCCACATCATGAGTAGACACGCCCCTTACTGCTGATTGGCTACAAGTTTGTTTTGCTAGTTCGCCCGAATCAGTTTTCTAAAGCGTTTTTGAAAAATCGCTTACCCCACCTTTAGTGATTTCATGATGTTTCATTGCTTTAACGGTTGTCGCACATTAATTTTCAGCATGTGCAAACAGAACACAGTACTGAAATACTGCAATTTGGTGTGAAACACAGCATGACCAGCAAAGTTAAGATTCTCGAATGACTCTGAAATTGTGGTCAAATTTACTGTTGTTCTTCAAATTTTCTTATGCAAAATCTAGGCAAAAAGAATCCACGCACTCGTGAATCTGTGAAGTACGATTTTCAAACTAATGACTCTTATGAGAGTTATTTTTAAATCAGTCAAGTCTGATTAACAAACTAATGCCTCTTTTGATCCAGTTCTTTTTAAGTAATAGAACAAAACATTACTGTAAATATTGAGAGGAATTAGAATCTGAACCAGAATAGTCAAATTCCTTATAGTTCCCATCTCCAATTTTATTAGTTTTGTGCATACTGCAATTGGGAAGTTCCCTGTATGGGAAGCATTTGATGAGTGCAGTCTGCTTATGAAGAGGACTGACAATTAAGTTTAACAGACAGTGATCTCTGACCCCCACAAAAGCGATATGTTGACATGCCATATCATGGCCTTGAAGTAAAAGCCCCTTCATGCCCTTCTGCCTCACAACACAAGAGCGATCAGGGGCAAGGCCTCCGCCATCACATACTCACACACACACAAACCCCATCACTCACCTGCAGACAACTGTCCCGAGAGACACTGAGGTTAGGCCCTTAACAGCTTACAGCCCATTACTGCAACTGCAACTCTGCAAGGGTCACGGCAACTCTGGAATGAAACCTGCACAAACCAGAAACACTCAGAATGGTATCAGAACTACTGAGAACTACAGACTTACACTCTTAAGTGGATTTTTAATGCAACTTCCAACAAATTTAAATGTTGATAACTGAGTTTAAGCCATTTTTTATTTGAACCAAGGTCCCTTGCAAGCTGAATAAAAACTGTACAAATGCTCTAGATTTCCTCTGTTTAAAAATGTATATGAAATATATGAGAAAACCTGCTGCCCAGACACAGGAAGCTGTGGATATACACCTCAGTCATATTGCAGCCATACTTGGGGGTGGATGGATTTGTTACAGTTTCCTGTGGAAGCAATATGGGGCTTCTCCCCTGACGGCGAGGAGATCATAATATGACTGAAGTAAGATTTATCCAGAGTTTTATCAGTGAAGATGGTCACGGTATAATCAGGTGAAACGCTCAGCCTCTAGATATATCAGCTTTAAGTCTGAACACTCACTGAAAGATTTGGCTCTGTTAAAAAGCTTCAGTGATGCAGACCGGTTTCTTCTTCAAAGGCTTTCATGCAGGCTCTGGTGAAAACATGTTGCTTTGAAGAGGAAGACTACAATGAATATCACTATAACTTGGGTGGGGAGCTGAAAATAGTGAGACTAGTTTGAGAAAGTGAACACACTGAGGAGATGCTAACCAAACAGAAAGGGTTAGAAAATAAACAAAATCTAAATGCACAAAAATCATACACTACCGTTCAGAAGTTTGGGGTTGGTAAGATCTTTTATTGTTTTTGAAAGAAGTCTCTTAAGCTCACCAAGACTGCATTTATTTGATCAAAAATACAGTAAAACAGTAATATTGTGAAATACTACTACAATTTAATTCTATTTTAATGCATATTAAAATGTGTTTATTTCTGTCACGGTAAAGCTGAAATTTCAGCAGTCATTACTCCAGTCTTTAGTGTCACATGATCTTTAAAAAATCATTCTAATATGCTGATTAAACAATTTCTTGGTAGGCCTACACACATTTTTGTGGAAACCATGATAAAGTTTTTCAGAATTCTTTAATGAAAGTTCAAAGGAACAGCATTTATTTGCAATAGACATGTTTTGTAACATTATAAATGTCTTTACTATCACTTTTGATCAAATTAATGCATCCTTGCTGAATAAAAGTATTTTAATTTCTTTAAAAAAGTACTGACCCCAAACCTTTGAACTGTAGTGTATATGAAATCTCTTCAGTGTCTCAATTGCATTTGCTCTTCAAATGGAGATGTCAGAAATCCACTGCTATTTAGAATTTTTTAAAAACCAGTAATGAGTCTCATTTTGTGTTTTAGAAGAGAACTGTTTCAGCTGTGCCAAGTCTGAAATCCAAAGTCAGACATTAAGAGATTCTTATCAAACTCTTCCAGGACCAAAAATCGAATCATCTGAGGTCTGAGCATCACTGAGCAATACAATTTTCCTCTGTAAGAGAATAAGGAAGAAATCACAACATCTGCAGAGATTATATCAGATTTGATTGTTTGTTTATTTGATTACTAGATTATTAAATCTTACCTTCTGTCATATAGTATACAGCAATTTACACTGAATAATGTGGCAGGGCAAATAAGACCATTGTGTTCCATGTGTCACAATCCACACATGCCTAATAAACCTCATCTTATCTGAGTCCCCATGTATGCAGCAAGAAACCACACACACACACAGACACACAATGAGCTCCTCATATAGCTCACGTATAGCAGTTCAGCCACTCTGTGTGACCTTTCAATTATTTATCCTCTCTAGCACCCGTAGCTCTTCTCTCCCACAGCCGCATATTAAATTCCTGGCTCTCGTATACCTGCAGCATCAGCAGAATAAACGAGGGTGATTCATCTGAGGCTGTCAGCACAGCGCGAGCTGAGAGGATATTTCCCTGAAAAACAGAGAAACATTAGCTCACACTGAAGAGCAGCAGAGATGTGCACGTATGTCATAGTCATTCTCTCTTAATCATATCCAGACAGCTCAAACTACTGCCTGCGCTACAACAACTTGTATATTGCAGGTGTTGATTTTTATTAAAACTAACACATTGCATTTTTTTCATATGGAGGCAGCATTAAAACGTGAAAACATTTTATAGTGTCTTCATATTTTTTTTTTTACCACTTTAAAAATGCTTTCTATAAGACAGATTTAATTGTTTTATTCTAGTTCCAGACCGACATTAAATTTTAAATATATGACAATCCATCATTCAAAATTTCTGCATTTTTTAAACTATGATAATGTAAGCAGTGACATAAACAAATAACGACAATACCTCAGGGTTATTATCGCTATCTAATACTAAAAGCGTTAAAAAAAAAAACAATTCTTGAAATGAAATCAACATTAACAGAAATAAATTAAATGTCCGAGTATGTCTGTAATGAAAATATGAGACAAATGTCAAGGTAAATATCAGTACTGTGTGAATGACAAAAAATATGTGATTTTGCCCAATAATGTTAAAGTCTGAATTTTTTATTTAGATGTTAAAATATGGAATTAGCATTTTCAAGACAAATGTGTCACCCATTTTATTCCAAAATGTTTCAAATGTGAACATGGAATACATAATGACAATGGCATTGGAAATGCGAATGATGCTTCAGAAAAATGACAAAAATTATTTCATTAGTCAAACCACGTTCTTAATTATTATAAAACCACACAAAAAGCTTCTTTATATTATATTATAATCTGCATAAACACTATACATAAAATGACCTCACCTGCAGATCAGTCATTCTTGAGAAGTGGAACAAAACAGGGTGCAAAATTGAAAAAATAAGACCTTGTACTCAGACAAATGAAACTACATTTATGTATCTTATATGTACTAAGCTACTGAGCTATACTTTGATACAACCTCCCAACTTCTCACTTTTTTAACAAAATGTGCTTTTTTACCTTGGACTGTGTAATATAATTTCAACTTTATCTTTAACAGCATTCAAGATGTTTTTAACATTTCAAAACACATTCTCGTGTTAGCAGACAGATTACACTTTCACATGTGACCAACAATTCCACAACAAATATAAAATATCATAATGAAATATTATCAAAATATTCAACTGACGGAGCTGACAGAACTGACGGAGTTGACACATCTGACGGTGGTGACGAAAACATGAATTTGTAATAATTTTAACTATCAAAATTGAATCAGTCAATTACTGTATTAAAACAAACAACAAACAGTGAGTATGTTATTGTTTATAAAGCTTTTATTCAAGAGTCACATTTAAATATTTTGATATATCATTGGAACACAAGATCTTATGGTGGTGACATCTGACGGTGTTGACAAATTTGGCATTTCTTTCACAAAACCAATGGAGTTCATGTAGTAGCCATTTTATTTTTTTCTGTTGATGCTAGATGCTAATGGAACCTGCTTCAGGAGAATAAAATTATCTAAATATTTCAAATAATTTCCTCAGAAATTGGAAGATGGTGTTGACATATCATGGCTGTGACAAAGGAAATATTAACATTAGGATTTAAAATATTCTAAAACTAAAACTTAGCAGAGCCTGTCTGACACTGATGTACTCTGCAGAGGTGAACTGTGGCAAGGGGGTCCTTTAGAGTGACAGCTGCCCCTCCTGATATTCCCTGATTTTATTACATTTTATTGAACGTCTGACGGTGTTGACAAAAAGTGGAGACGCAACTAAACATTTTTATCCATTTTATTGCATATGAATGATTGAACCCTTCTCTGTGGACACACTGTTTTAGACGTAGTGAGAGGACATTAAGAAACACAGATTTGGTATAATAATGAGAAAATTAAATTGAAGGTGATAATTGTGTTAAATACATTCTATTATTAATCCCTCATGACATTTAAAATTGAAAATATTTATATTTTTTAAAGCTAATAGCAGTTAGCATTGCTGGACCTGTTTTGTCCCACGTCTCAAGAATGACTGAGATTCATATAGCCTTCTAATATTGACATTACCGAGTTCTGATGTCACTCCCAAACCTACAGGAAACTATTAGTGCACTTCCTATTTGGATCTTCCAATACCCGCCATAAATAGTCCACTTCATCAAAGAGGTCCAATTCCCTTAGATCCACAGTCAGACAGTCCTGTCCAGAATAGCCCAGTCTCAAAAAGTCTCCAGTTGCACTCTTGAACAGAAGTATTTTGGGAATCTGTATCTGTAGGATAAGATAGCGTGAGAACAGTTGCTGGTTAATTTTAAGTTTAGTGTCTGTGGATCTGGGTACTATGAAAACGATCCACAATCCAATGGTGGTACACTGAAATAGTGTGGAATAGCATAGCATAGCATACCAGGTTCAAAATTATCCCCGGAGTTATTCACTAGCAGGTGTCAGACTACAGGAAGTGGAAAACAGTTGATTTACTGTGTGAACTATGTGATTACATCATTTGAAATTTAGATTTCAATTAAAGGGATAGTTCACCCAAAAATGAAAATTGTATCATCATTTACTCACCCTCAAGTTGTTCCAAACCTGTGTGAATTTCTTTCTTCTGTAAAAGGAGATATTTTGATGAATGTGAATAACTCATAATGCTATATAGCAGGGCTGTCCAAACTCGGTCCTAGAGGGCCAGTGTCCTGAAGAGTTTAGCTCCAACCCCAATTAAACACACCTGAAGCAGCTAATCAAGCTCTTACTAGGCATACTAGAAACTTGAAGGCAGGTGTGTTGAGGCAAGTTGGAGCTAAACTCTGCAGGACACCGGCCCTCCAGGACCGAGTTTGGGCACCCCTGCTATATAGGCTAAGAAAACACACCACTAATGGTCGGCAGGCAGAGCTGCACCCTTATTTACTCAAGAGAGGGCACACGTGGCTGGATGAATTATTTACCCATCTCTTCCAGCTCCTGATTCAAAAGACACGCTACGAGGATTCAAAGAGAATGTGTTCAGCTTAGGCCAAAAACATCTATGGCACAGGAACGCAACAAGAAAGCGATTTGGAGGAAGCTGTCAGATTGAGTTCAGTGCCCAGCAGGAGATCATCAGCCAAGAGTCAAAAGAACAGCAGGTTCCTCAGCGCTGGCTGCCTGTGAAGTGATGGATGCTTTGCCAGACTATGCTGAGTCTGCTGAATCACCGCATGCCCATCCTGCCCTCACCAGAACCGCTCTAGAAACC